AAATAAATTACAATATATCGTTGAATGAAAAATCCTATGTAAAGAGTGCGAAGAGCTAGATATGCTCGTTAACAAGGCTCGAGATTTCATGGAGAACTGGTGTCCTAAGATGAGCAAAATTCACAGGGTAAGTTCAAGTTTGATCTTTACTGAATACATTTTTCCTTGGAGTAATGATGCCTAAGGGAGAAAAAAAAGAAGTGCTTGAAATAAGGATTTCCTTTCCGGTTGGTTTGTCTATGTTTGTTATGGATTGCTATAAAATCTATATCTTGCAGATGTAACAGTCAAATTTATAAACTTTTAAAACCATGCAGGTTCTAGTGAAACTTTTTTAATAAAAATGCGAGGCTCTTCACTTCAGATATGTCGCATATTATATAGACTATTGCAGTCATCACCATCCACTTCAAGTTTAACCAGTGTGCAGGTATGAAAAAAATCAAAATCTTCTTCTTCACTCCATGTGCAAGTACAAATTTTGTCTTGCTTTAAGAAACTATTAATGGCGGCTGGAGGGCAACTGCTGAGTTAGCTTTTAGTAGTGAGACTAATTGAAGAACTGTTTCAGCACTGCCTGCGGGAATCAAATGTGTGAAGCAGGAGAGACCATCAATGGTAGATGCTTTGAGAAGTAAAAAAAGATGATGCTATTCCCTGCACCGATCATCTGATAAATGTTATGAAATCCCTGAACTTGACGTCAAACCATGATGTGCATGCTAAACTTGTTTCGGTCTCTTCTCCTTCAAATCATATATCTTCTCAAGATTTAACCTATATTGATAGTTTCCATTACTTTGCAAACAGCAGTAGTTCCACAACAAGGTCTTCTCTTGAAGTTGGAAATGGTTTAGAGAAGCAGAAGATTAACATCTCCTCTAGATTTAGTGGAGAATGCACTGGAGATCGACAAGTATGACCGCAATCTCTTGATCGATCATATACTCACAATAGGGCTGAATCAGCCTCTAGTGAAAATACAGTGTTGATTCCACTCCTGCTGCTAATGACATGTCAAGGGGGTCAGAAGAATGAAATGAATGAGTTAGCTGAAATTTCATCCGAGGGCCTTGGCACTTTTTCTTCAACAAATGAATCTGGAATTTCTCCCTGGATAACAGGAAAGCAGTTGCAGGTTTCCGAAACAAAAATAGAAGAGACACTCAATGGAAACCATAATTATAACAGAACATACTCCAGTGCATTTTCTGGGTCAGGGTGTGATGATTTGACCACAAGTTCCCATGTGAAGAAACTACTAGACAACCTTCAAAGCCTGTCAAATGAAGTTCAAACTAAATCTGCTACAGAACTGCGCCTTCTTGCAAAGCACAACATGGAAAATCGTATAATTATAGGCCACTGTGGTGCTATTACACCATTACGTACTTTCTCTATTATACTCGGAGGTAAAGATAACTCGAGCATGCTGTTACAGCTCTTTTAAATCTTTCGATTAACGAAGATAATAAGGCCAAGATTGCAAAATCTGGAGCAATAGAGCCACTAGTTCGTGTTCTAAAGTCTGGAAATGATGGAGCCAAAGAAAATTCCACTGCGTCATTGTTCAGTCTTTCTGTCTTGGAAGAGTGTAAGGCAAGGATCGGACGTTCTGGTGCTGTCAAAGCCTTGGTGAATCTTCTGTACCCGGGAACATTGAGAGGGAAAAAAGATGCTGTTACTGCTTTGTTTAACTTATCAATCTTTCATGAAAATAAGGCTCGTATAGGTCAAGCAGGTGCAGTAAAGTACTTGGTTGAGTTAATGGATCCCGAGAGCGAGATGGGCACCCCAAGAGCTAAGGAAAAGGTATGCTGCTTAGTTTTTCCTCTTTTTTCTGTTCTGGTGCATGCATTTTCTGGATGCACATGAGAAAGTGCATGATATGCTTTTTTAAAATACTTTTGCAGGCACAACAGCTTCTCTGTCACTTCGCAATCAAAGAGAGTGCAACGGGGAAGGGCAAGACATGAAAACTGTCAAATTTTGTCATATTTTTCTTCTGATTTTTTGGTATACTGAACTAGGCGCATCTCTTGCAAGTTACACGTTGAGCAAAGCCGACATGTTACATAGTTCAGAAACTTGCAAAAGCTTCAAGTTATCAAAATGTGGCTCAAATATTAAGCCAAGAGGAGACAGAACTAGACAATGCATACAAAGGTTCAGGTTTTCGACTGCTGTCTTGATATGATAATATGTTATTTTTCCTAATTTTTGTCACCAAGAACTTGAAGCATGGTCCAACACTCCTATAGGTATGATTGTTTTGGAGAAAAAGAAAGTACCCAAGGCAGCCTCTGATCCACTGGAGTTGTGTATTGTCCCAAATTACACAACAGCTTGCATTTTGGGTACGATGATACTTCGCACCAGCCAGACTCCTCGAGTTATTGTTCTTAAACTATTAATCTTAGTCGTCTATTTTTACGTATAATGTTTGAGAAGAGACTAAAATGTTAACTATTAGGGAATAGCTATTAGTTCTCAATCATAATGTTAACTATTAGTGAACATATATTGGTGTACGAATGGATATGGTTAGGACTGGGGATTTGAGGTGCTCCTTGTGGCCATATTCCTGCCGGTTCAAGGCTTTATCAATATGTGGAATATATTAACTATTAAGGGGACACAAATAAATGGCCAGTTTTGAGCTAACCAAGAACTTGGTTCATTCCCCTATTATCGATTATGAATAGTAACTAAGTTGGTGTGCAGAAAAAGAAAAAAAAAGAAGATAAACTTAGATATGTGTAAACTACATTGATTATCTTTTTTGTTTTAGACCAATTTTATTTTGATGACTGGTTTTAAAAAAGTAATATTTTGATCATTTACGTTATCGGTTCATTACATTTTGATCATTGGGCCGTTAATTTCTGTTGGTTTGGTGATATGGCATGTTAGTAAAAATGATGAGATTTTAACTTGAAAACTTAATTATTTTTTAATTTAATTAAAATTTAAAAATAATTTAAAGCCCAAATAAACTTGAAAACTTAATTTTAAATGATTCTGACTTGGTCATACTTCAAAATCAATTAAGACCATTTTTCAAGAATTTTTCTGTTAAAAGGATCAATTCCTTCCATCAAAAGATAGACCCCTTCTTTAAAATGATCAATCTCTTTACACAAGGATCGATCTCTTTCATGTGGAAAACAAAAAGAATCAATCTTTTCTATGAAAGGATTGATCCTTATGCTGACAACAACCAAAATTTTAAAAAAAATATCAATCCTTTTCATAAAATTATCGATCTCTCGTGTCGTAAATATTTTATTCTTTATATATTACGGCTTTATTGCAATCCTAACTGCTAGTAATCATAAAGAAGTTATAAAAATAAGCTCAAAACATCTCAATCTAACAAGAAACATTTTTGACGATAAATATTAATCAAAAAATAATTCTAGAATGCTAAATTGTTATGTTTTTCATTATAAAATAATTATGAGCTATCATTGTCAAAATTACTCAAATATTCTTTGAGTGAAAGCTCGTAATTTCAAACATACAATCACAATAAAGATTATTTTCAGTTTACATTATTTGTAATTATTTTCAGTTGTAAATAAATTTAATAAATTTGAGAAATTTTTAATATAAATAGTTAAGGTAGTAAATATAGATTTAATTTAGAAGTCGAACCATTTTAAATTTTTAATTATTAAAATTGTTTGGTTCGTACATATTTATTCATAATTTTAATCTTTTGTATTTATATTTTTACCATTATCTTTTTACCTTGTAAACATCTAAATAAATCCATACAAAAATCTCCACTAGATAATATTAAAATTATATTATATTTTCATAAATTAAAATTTATTGGATCGAAATCTCATGCCCATCGTTACTATAGACAAAACCACATAATTCCACACTCCAAACCTTTTAAAGAAAATACAAGAAATAAAATTAATATAATTTAAAATATATTAATATTACTCAAAAAATAATTATCGTCCTTTAAATAAAAGTAATATCAACTATTTCACTCCACCCACTTAAAAATTTTATGTTTAATTTTTTTAATGTCCAATAACATATTTTTTTTAACTCTCTCTCTCTATACATATATCAAGATCAGGTACTAGCATTAAACTTTGCAAAAATGAATGAGAAAATAATAATAAAGGTTTTTCGGTATATAAAGGAAAATGATGATTTTTTGAAAATAATAATTTTAGGGCAGATGATTGAAAATTTTGAGAAAAAGGAAAAAGGGTATTGTGTTCAATGAAGAAGGAACTGTCATTCGAAGCTACAGTGGGTTCAAGAGAGAGAAAATCATTTCTTTCCCTTGAATTTTATTTTACCCCTATTTTTATTTTTATTATTATTATTTTTAAATAAATCCCAGTCTCCATCTAAACCTACTTCTCTCATTCACCCTTTTCAATTTTAATTTCCATTTCATTTCCACAAAGTTATCTTCTCTTTTTTAAGAATTAATTCCACAAATAATAATAAAACCCCATTAACAATCATTAAAAATCAAATAACTTTAATTAAAAATTTATTTTTATAAAAAAATTAAATTTAAATATCATATATATCAAGAGTTAATGCTTTTTAATATTAAATAATTAATAATTTTTAAACACCTCATTTTAATAAGATAAACAGAAACACCCCAAATCAAACAAGTATATTTCAGCAAAACAGTTCTCTCTTTTTTACCATCAATCTAATCAGATCATCCACGTATCTACCAATCAGATATCTTAAAACTACTACTTCATCCCCAAACTCTTCTTTCTTGACCTGCCTAACTCTCAAATATGGAAATTCTGTCCATTCTAAATCATTAGTCGGCAAACTCTTCCACTCTTCCTTGTCTGTTAAGCACTTCTACTTTTTTTCTTTGGTTTTCTTCTTCGTTGTGTTGTTTCATATCAACACTGTCATCTGCCAGAAAAAGAAAGTATACTAAAACTAAAAGCTTTTAGTTCACAGTTTCTTTAACTTCGGTAGGTCTTAATCTTATGGTCACACTGAAAAAGTTATTTTTTTAATAAAAGAAAGGTGAAACCCCTAGTTTGTAGGTGGTTGAGAGAAAGAAGATCAACTTATCACGGTAAAGGACAACACCCGCACACACGCACAAATATATATATTTTTGAAGAGCTAATAGAATACTGTGTTTGGTCCATGGATTCAATTCATTATAGCTCCAACTGTGGAAACCCCAGCCTCATCAACGTTACCGATAACGGTGCTGCCTCGTCTTCTTCGACTTCAAGCCGCTACGAGAACCAAAAGCGCCGTGATTGGAACACTTTTGGCCAATACCTCAAGAATCATAAGCCCCCACTGTCTCTCTCCAGGTGCAGTGGAGCTCACGTCCTGGAATTCCTTCGCTACCTCGACCAATTCGGTAAGACCAAAGTCCACACTCAAATCTGTCCTTTCTATGGACTCCCGAACCCACCGGCCCCTTGCCCTTGCCCGCTCCGTCAAGCCTGGGGCAGCCTCGACGCTCTCATCGGCCGCCTCCGAGCTGCCTTTGAAGAAAACGGTGGAAAACCCGAAGCAAACCCTTTTGGGGCACGAGCTGTGAGGCTTTATCTTCGTGAAGTTCGTGATATGCAGTCAAAAGCAAGAGGGATTAGCTATGAGAAGAAGAAACGTAAGCGACCGCGGGCTCAACAGATCCCGACTCCACCATTACCGCCACTACAGCCGCCACCACCAGGTGCAAGTTAGACTACATACGCATCAGCAAAGCAAAAAATATCCAAACCCCATATGAAAGATAAAATTTCACTACATATATGGGATATTTTCTCTTTACTTTAGCCATAAGGTATGTATGTGGTGTTATTTTGAGTATATTTTTTAGGGTATTTTTACTTTTCTATGCTTTGTGTTTGCTGCTATGCTATCTAGTTAGACTGGTACTGGTACTGTTGTAGAGATCTTTGTGGATTCCTTGAAACTACTTTTGATGCAAACAGTATTGAATCCTCTGTAATGAACTATTAGTAGCAGTAATACTAAAAGAGAATTGTACTATCAGTTTGTTGCTTAAATGGAAATCAGAGCTTCTAATTGCTGGGTTTCTTCATATATGCAGTTCATCTGTCTGAATCTTTCTTCACTTTTAACCCCATTTTTCTTATATTCCAATTCTTTTAATGGGGAATTCCCTTCATTTCATTGCTGTTAAGACCTCGAAAGAACTTTACAATGAGGATCAGCTCATGTGTCAGATTTATCTTCAGCTATAGTTAATTGTTTTAGTGGCTTTTTACAGATACCGGTCATTTTTCAGTTTTCACTCACTGCTACTCTCTTTATATATATTTTTTCCTGACTTCATCTGATCGCCACTTTAATTTTACTGCTTTGACCGTCCGGAATTAATTGATATACTGTAATAACAACATCAAATTAACCATAGGGATTGGTTTTAAATTAATTATTAGCTTCTTACTACTGCTTACCATCGTTTTCTTTCTTATTCTTTTGATTTTTAACTTGAAAGCTAGCCAGAAAATGATTATATGGTTATCACAGTATTTGGGCTGATTCGCCACCACTGGTCGGTGGTGCTGTCATTTCAGTGTAGAAAAATGGTTGATACACAAGCAATACGTACGTGTATTTACATTGTATATAGTATAGATTTTATTACATTATATATAGTATAGATTTTATTACATTAATAATTCATATTTTATCTTGATAAGTTTATATATATATATAGGTATCTTCTTGTTATTATGTTTTCATGTAGTATTTATGTTTCAATCATATTTCTGATGCCATGTTCTTGTTATGTGATTGTGCTTATGTTTCACTACATAGGCATACTAAGGGATGAGCCGAATAATATGATTGCATTTGAACAGTATCGCGTTTAATTATAAACAAGAGATGGTCATGAGATAGGAGTATAAATAATGTTGAATTTTAATGTTCAAAATATTTTTGAGTCTTAATTCGATTGTAACATTTAAGTGGATATGAGTTCGAGTTTATTTAAATATGTGATATCTTTCAATTTTAAAATTCAAATGGTTCAAACATCATTAAAAAATCAAACATAATCTTAATTTGACTAACATGATTCTTATTATAATATCTTAAAGTTTATAAATTTAAATATACTTTAAGCACACAATTTTGTAAAAGTTTTAGGATAATTTAGATATTATGCAAAAGAATTAAACACGTTACTCGCTATCTTGAAATTCTATATATCACAATATATTATCATAAAGAATCATTTCTCGCTATAATATCTAGCAATACTAGTAAAAAGTTGGTTTAATGAGATGAAATACTAGATTCTTTAAGAAATGTTGGAGGTTCGAACCTTGACGTTAGCAAATAGAGCAAACTAAGTTGGGAGATCACTCTCATAATGGACATCTACAAAACTTGATCTAGATTAGTCGATCAATAAATCAGATATTAGCGATTAATTCAAAAAAAACTAGCAATTGTTAAAAATAGATTAGATACCAATAATTTCCAATGATTTTAGTCTATTTTTTACATTTATGAAATTAAAATGAAAAAAAATGAAAATTGCATAGTTTTTTTAATTTTTAAAATTAAAATTACATAGATTAGAATAATTTCTTTTAGAAATTGACCATTTAAATAAAATGACGTGTTTATGGAATTTATTAATCATGGTTATTGAAACTATAATTATTACTAAACTTTGAAAAGAGAGTAAAATTATTAGGATTAAAATGAAAATTTGAAAAGAGTTTGAAGCTAAACTGTGTTTAGCTTATTCTAAAATATAATGTAGCTTCTTGTAGATGGGAAGTTTTTAAAAATTAAATTTTTAAATGTCTGATTTTTTAAAATTTTCATTTTAGTCTTTTTAATTTTATCTTTTATTTTATTTTGCTGGTAACTTTAGGTTTAATGTAGCATTCATCCTAGATACATAAATAAATTCATGGGATCTACATTTCACTAATTTTTCCCATTTTTCCTAATAATTGATTATAATAATAATTGTAGACACATGTAAGTTGTGGCTAAAATTATAAACTAATCTTAAAGGCTGAATATTAAAGGAACACAGTCGAACAAAGTAATTGAAAACAGGATAAAACATTAAGTGCAATGATTTTCTGTTAAGTATACATTTCAATTATGGCAACATTCAATTGAAGAATCATGAAATTACAATTAATCATTAATTGAGTTTGACTCTTATTATTATTGGTGTAATATATGAGAGAGCATAGGATCGTCAATATCTGTAAATTACGGAAAGAGGTATCAATTACCGACTTCAATGGATAAAATTGAGATAATAAAACTGACATCGGTAACATATTTAAAATAATATACCAGTATGTTTTGATAATCAAATAAATTTATATTTTTTAATAGTTTAAGGTGATTATAAGTATTATTTATTTAAAATTTATCTTAATAAGTGACGACGTACATATATTCTACAAATAAAACTAATGACCAAATCCCCTCTTGAAAATCGAATCTTCCAATTATTAATAACCAAATAATATATTAAAATTTTAATTAAATTAATGTCGGATTATTATGGTATAATGAGGATCTGGAACCATTAGAAGTTACCTGAATGCTGTTGCAATCGGTTGTAAACATTTTGGGTTGTTAATATAGTTAAGTCGGTCAAAGAAAAAAAAATCAATATTTTTAAAGGATGATATTCTTGTAAAAAAGTTTAATATTATTTTTCGTACATGGCACTTTTGGATATTATTTTTGTAAAAGTATATTTTATAGAAGAATTATTATTTTCATAAATATTTTTAAAAGATGAGATAATCAATTTATTGAAATGAATAATCAATCAATAAAATGAAAATTTGATATTTTTTAAATTTTTATAATATATTGCTACATGTAAGTTATAAAACAAACTAAAATTAAGCAAAAAAAACAAAAAGGGTAATTCTGTCCTTTTACATTACTAAAATTAAATTCATCTGACATATTTGCGAACCAAACTGAATATGAAATTGGATTCCAATTCAATTTTCTGCCAACCAAACATGTTTCAGATTCAAATTCCAATTCCCTCATAAACATTTCAGCGAACCAAACGTCACCTTAGGGTACCTTGCTTATTTTCCCCCATATTCTTTTATTTCCCTCATCTCCCTTAATTTATTTATTATTTTTGTGGCAGATTTATAAATATTTTTGAGGATGGATATACATACATTAACAATATAAAAATTTTAAATGAAACGAGCACAAATAAAATTTTAAGATATATATCATTAATAAAATAAATAACTAATTAAAAAATTTATATCTTAAAGTAAACATAAAGATATAGATCGTCACTATTGATGTCTTAAAAGAATGATGGTTATAGCTTCTCTCGTTGGGTCGAGACTAATAAAGATGCATCCGAAGGCAGTACAAGAGAATTTGATGGATAAATTGCTAATGGAAAACAACTTGTTAATGCATTAAAATTCGGGATTTAAGGACCCAACATATGAAATCCAAAGAGGAGATGCTGGCCAAGGCACAAAATGAAGCCAAACTTTGTATGGTTTGATTTGCGTTTACTTCGGGATTAATATTATTGTATTTTATCGATATTATATAGTTTATAGGTGCTATATATTAAAGTTATATATCGTTATTATATAGTTTAATTTAATAGTTAATTTTAATTTTTTATTATTTTATTCTTCAACGTTTTATTTTGAAATAAAATTATTCCTGATTGAATAAAAATATTAATTAACTAATGATAAATACTTAACACTTAAATCTGACGTGACAAGTTATATGCGTAAAAAACTTAAATTTATTATAAAATACGGAACTCCAGTATCAAATAATATAATAAACAACAAAATACGCATAATAAATTTACGTGATCACTTAAAAGGGTCTTACAAATCCAAATACCCACTAGAAGTCGCAATATATTTTACTATGAGATAAATTGGTTCTAGGACTCTATTCTGATTAAAGTCCTAAATCTAACAATCTACGTACGAAAAATAATTTTAAATAATAAACTCTACGAAACTAATTAACACACATATATACTCTATTATATTTCATAAACATACAATCACCATAAAAGCAAGAAGCAAATGGGCATTTATCATAGCTTATAATTCAAAAATTCATTGCTTAGTAACATGAGTATGCTCACAGTTTATCCTAACCAGGTTTCAGAGTCATTTTCCATTTGTGTACACATAACATAAATATATCGTAATTGTATCACTAACATATTAACATTACTCGTCAATTAATTATATCATACCATAATAAAAAGTTACACGATTAAAGAATAGAGGGTACGAGAATCCCGCATCCTACGGGCTACGGTCAATGAGATGATATGATGGAATTGACGAGTAACAGTGACAATAAATACAAAGCACATGAGATTGGACCCACCAAGCATGCTACTCCCACGTGCACACCTGTCACCTCTGTCGGCTACATTTTTTAAATCTTTTATTATAAAATATTATTCGTTTAATTTTTTTTAGTAATTAGTATATATGTTCAATCGTTAGAATTCAAAAATTTTAGATAAAATAATATTTTCTTTAATAATTGAAGTTGTTTAATAATTTTTCAGTTGGTTTATTTAATTAATCTAAGATGATTATAGGTGGTAGTATATATATTAAAAACTCTAATTTTTTTATTTATAAAAACGTTCAAATAATAATAAAATTAGTTATATTTATCGGTGATTTTATGAATGGACGATAGTGACAATAATATTAGTAATAAAAGGACGAAATTGAAGGTAAAAGGAAATAACATGGACATAATTGAAAAGGAGGTGAAGGATGAAATTGAAGGGGAAAAGAACTAACAAGGAAGACAAGGAAATATTAGGGACCAATTTGAAAGACGTAAAAT